GACCAAGTGGGGTTCATATCAGGTATGCAGGGATGGTTCAACATTAGAAAAACAATAATTTGTGTGAAGATAAAACTCAGAATGATGGCTTAGGAAAAAATATTAAAGAGTATTAAAAAAAAAAAAAAAAAAAGACTCCAACATCCCATGAAGTTGTTCTGTTCTGAAAATTGAATGTACCTAAAAACATAACTGGGAGCCCCAGTCCCATCTCAGACCAACTAAATCAGAAAATCTGGAGGAGAGGCCAGGGCATCAGGATTTTCCAAAGGCCTTCCTCCCCACCCCCGGGTAGATTCAAATGGTCACCCAGGGTTGAGAACCCTGAAGAAAAGGGCCTAGCTAGAAGTTACGGCCTTCCAAACCACACTAGGGGCATCATTTCTACATAGGTAATATTTTTTTAAGCAAAAATATAGAAATAGTAAAGAAGTATTTAATAAATTTTATTAAATTATTACTAAAAGTTCAATTATAGGAATGGTGCTGGTCTAAAATGCACTCTGATCAGTTTAGTGAGAATGCTTGCATGTTGAACAGAATGAACTACTTCCAAAAGAAATTTGATGAGAAATTTTGCTTTCAGGTTTACCTCACTATTGGCAGCTCTCACTTCAGCATCAATTAGATTCAGGAAACACCCTCTCCTTTTTTTTTTTTTTTTTAAATAAATGAAGGTTATGTGAGCAGATAGTTTAAAGAGTCCAAGAGGTCTACATGGTTTGTCAGGAAAACAGTCACTTTCAATTTTAGCTGATTCCTTTAGTATTGCTACACCTCAATTTCGCAGTTGCAGGTATTATCCCTGACTTGGTGTTAATGTAGTAAAGAATTTCATTCTCTTTCCATCTCTCCCACCACACATCTTCCTTCCTTTTCCATCCTCACAACAGACATATATTCATTTAGTTAAGTCAACAGTCAACATTTACATCTACCTATATGCTAATCAGAGCTGAATCATATAGTTTATATTCTATGAATCCTTTTACCTTCCTGAACAAATTATTGCTTTTGCTGAAGTTAATTGCTTTGATGAATCAAGTGTTAGTTTCTGGTATAACTATTTCTAATTCAATCTCAAATTTTCCTGGGTATGTATTTTATAAGTTTCCTTTACTTTTTACAATCTCTGGCCGCGATCTGGGCCACTCCAGGCTGTACTAACGGCTATTGACTTGTGCAGCATCACTTCCCGTGGGACTCTCCTTTACTCCCTTCCTCTCTTCCGCTGGCTTCTGTCTCATCAATTTCATGTCTTTCTACTTTCTGGTTTACTTCCATGCATTCTCTAGTAGACACCATAATAAAGGGTGAATGGGAGATGCATTTTTGAAAAATTGTAAGTCTTTAATCTATTTTAGTTGGGTATAGAATTCTAGGTTAAAATAATTTTCCTTCAGAATTTGACAGTATTGCTCCACTGTCTTAAAACTTTCAATGATGCTAGTTGCTAAGTCGGTTTCTTCCACTGTATTCTTTGCTTGGTAGATTGTTTGAACCTGGAAAACTGTCACTTAGCTCTGGATGATTTAAAAAATTACTTTGGTATCTATTTCTCCTTTTCTCTTTTTTCTCCATGTGCTCTACTCTTATTACCTGGATACATGAGTTGAATGGATGGTTTCTCTCTGCAGGAATAATGATGATATATTCTTTGAAGTTTATTTTTATCTGAAAAGCTCCTAATAACTCTCATTTCTGTTTCTTTGATTTTCCCATCAGTTTACCTTTAGAGTCAGTCATCCTTGACTGCTTACTAGCACATGTCACTGAGAGAGAAAAAGAAAAAAAAAAACCCAAACTCACTGCCATCAAGTCGATTTTGACTCACAGCAACCCCCTTTGGGTTTCCGAGGTAGTAAATCTTTATGGAAGTAGGGTGCCCAGTCTTCATGCAATGGAGTGGCTGGTGGGCTTGAACCACCAACCTTCTGGTTAGCAGTCCAGTACCTTAGGCACTATGCCACCAGAGCTCATTTGTCACTGAAACACTGTGTGGAAATCTTGTGACTGTGGATGGGGCTTGCCTCCTGTGGGCAGTTTCCCAAACTTGCCTGATTGAGGGACTCATTAAGCATACATGGATCCCTGAATCAGAATTTATAGGGAAGGGCCTGGAATGTTCATGTGTAATAAATACCCAGGTTGATGCTTACTGTCAAGACAAACTGGGAAATAATAATAGCCAAGTCAGTTTCTTTTCTTTTTTCTTTAATTGGAAAATATTAAATGGCTAGAAGTTCATAAGAATGAAAAAATTATAAACACCAATTCGCCTTTCCAGAATTGCCAAAAGGTGACCAGTGCTGCTAGCAAGGCTTCTGATCCTGTCCAGGAAATAGTCAATAGATGAGCAGAACCCACTCTGCACTCCCTATATTCCATAACTCTTCTCCCCCAGAGGAAAGCACTTGCCTGACTTACGGCAACGGTCTTCCTGCTTTTCTTTAGGTTTGGGCACGTTAGTATCCTTAACTAAAATACCAAAATGTATTAAGAAAAAAAATTGTTCCTGAAATTGAGAATCACAGATTTTCAGAAGAAGGTACTTATATTCCATTATTTTAAATGAGAAAAGTAATAATGCATATTCAAAGCCTCAAATTTCCCCCAAAATCACCGTAACACTCTTAAATAAATAACAATGCACCATAAACCTAAAAACACTAAAAACACTAAATACCTAATTAACTTAAAACACATCAGTGAGTATGTTTGTGTGCTATGCCCAAGAATACTGCCCAACACAGGATAGACAGTGCTATTCAAAGTCTGGTCTGCAAACTGGTTGTTACTAATTCAGGAAGAGATAAGGACCTTGTGCCAGAACACACAACTGTGCCTCTAAGCACACTGCTGAGGTCGGCTGACTGTCTTGTACTAAATACAACCTGGCACAAGTTCCTTATATCATCACAGGCTACTGACAGTTTAGGATTTGAGTTGGTCCAGATTTTTGAATAGAACCCTTATTTAGATACAAATTATGCTTTCCTTCTTCGCTGCAATGAACACGTACTAAAAGAGGAAGAAACAATGAAACAAATAGAAGAAAACACTGTGATCTACGAAGAACTAAACCTAAAGTGACAATATAATTTATCATCCAAATAGTTCTCATTTTGACAGTGAAAGAGGTGCTACCGAGAATAACAGGATAACATGCAGAGAAAGGTGAGTAGCAATAATGTACAGAAATGTGTGAATGACACCAGTAAGATTGGTAATCCCATCTGGAGAACGGCTGGTACATGACTACATCTCATTCTTCTGTTTTAGGACATCTCGCTTGCACACACGCAGACTCAGTGATGTGGATGAACTTTGGGTAAGTTTCTGCAAATTATTATAGTGAATATTTGTGAGGCTTCAGATGGTGAAGGATACCTGAGGATTAGCTTTGTCTTTGTTTATAAGTTGTTATGAATGGAATCATGCTGTTGTTGTTGTTGTTATTTGCCGTCGAGTCGACCCCGACTCATAGCAACCCCTCCTTGGGTTTCCGAGGCAGTATCACTACGGAAGTAGGATTGCCCAACCTTCCTTCCGAGGAGTGGCTGGTGGGTTCGAACTGCCAACCTTCTGGTTAGCAGTCAAGTGCCTTAGGCATTATGCTACCAGAGCTCCATTGTGATCCTGTCCAGGAAATAGTCAATAGATGAGCAGAACCCACACTGCACTCCCTATATTCCATGTAGGAATCATGCTACATTTACTCTATGATGTCTTGCTGTTGTTACTCGATTTCTCACACAGTGGCGCTAATCTATGGTTGGGTCAAAAGCCATCTCCATTGGTAAAGTAGGGTAGTGGGATTCCTTTTGTTACCATTTGTTTTACCTACTACTCCCTGCCATGGAGTCGGTCCCGACTCATAGCAACCCCTCCTTGGGTTTCTGAGGTGGTATCTCTACGGAAACAGATTGTCCTGTCTTCCTTCCAAGGAATGGCTGGTGGGTTTGAACTGCCAGCCTTCTGGTTAGCAGTCAAGTGCCTTAGGCACCACCATTTGTCTTGGCATGCTACATTAATTTTTGCTTTGCCAATTTTTTTTTTTATAAAAAGTAGTCTTTCTGAAATGAATAGCCACCTTCTGTGGAATAGCCAGGTGCCTGGCTTGCTGTAAGAAGAGATTTGCAATTCCTGGTGAACACCTGGGTACTTGAAGTAGGTGGGTGGAGACAGAGCCTGATCGCAGATGCCCCCTCATTCAGCTGTGCCTTTGGATAGGACGCCCTCTTCAGCTACTAGGTGAATCTGATGAAACCTTTCTTTAGGGAATGACTGTGGCTTCCTGGCTGTATCCTAGATTGAGGGAACAGCTACTCATGTCTCTATTGCTTCAGGCTAGAAGGCAAGATGGCTAAGTGTAACTAACAACACAGCCTGACAGTAAAACTTTTTGTTAAGGGTGAGGTGCACACTTTCAGGGCTATTGTAAGGAATAAACGTGATGGACATGGAAGTATCTACTACACTTAGGTGGGCTAAATTGAAAACGCTTTGATGATTATCATCTAGTACATATACAGAGAGAGAAAGTTAAAAACAGAATAAAATCACAAATGTACTCATTCTCCAAAAAGAAGAATGAACATTTCTCGAACATTTCAGGTGCTGGTTCTGAGTGCTCACATATTTTTTCCTTTACTTCTCACAATCACATGAGTCTCCCTGACTCCACAACCCAGCACTATCTTCCTTTAAGGTAAAATATAAAAAGCTTCCCTTGCCATCTTAAAAGGAGCTCTGGTGGCACAGTGCCTGAGGCATTTGACTTCTAACCAGAAGGTTGGTGGTTCAAACACACCAGCCGCTACGCGGAAGTAAGAGGGGGCAATCTACTTCCATAAAGATTGGCTGCCTCGAAACCCAGTGGTGGTCACCAAGAGTTGGAATCGACTCGATGGCAGTGAGTCTGGTTTTTGGCTGCCATCCTAGGTGAAAGTCCACTGGCTGATGTTTAAGTCTGAGTTCCCTTCAAAGTGCCCCCTTACCACTGGCAAGAGAATCTGCGCTCCCAGGGCTGTGTTGCCTGGAGACCAACTCGCTCCCTGTTTTCCTCATTTCTGTGTTTTCGTTGTATCGCCTTTTCCAGTAGTTGAGTTCTTCCCGATCAGACTCCTGACAGCGCCGTAGAACTGCCATGGAACGCCGTGTTTTCTCTACCATTTCCATAATGCAATTCAGGGCCTGAGCCAGAGAGGAAAGAAGGCACAGACGAGATGAGGAAACTCAACCAACACTGAAGATCAAGGCCAGGTAAATAAAATCCAGAGAATGAGGGTTTCAATATTCTACAGGTTTAGGAAAATCAACTTTACATTTGAATATCTTTCATACTGGTTTTTTGAAAATGTGTGTGTGCGTGTGTGTGTATATACACATTCATTCTGGAAACCAAATATATATATTTAGATTTCAAAATGATGCTATTTGAATTGTTTAAGATTAAAGTAACCAGAATTTCTTTTTAATATGGTCCTACAAAGACTTTAAAAACTGTGATGAAACCACATTATATCTTTGCCCAAATACTTCAAGTCAGCTAATGTACAGAAGACTGCAACCAGAGAAATAATCTCCAGGGACATCATCACCCAAGGATGGAAAGTGGCTACATGGAAATTTCAAGCAAGTGCTGCAACTCCTCTTCCCTTTTCAGGGAGAATAGAAATTCACTCTTCCAATGGGAAAGAGAACCCAGGCTTGCATCCTCAGGTATATTTGGAGTTCCATTTATTTAATGCTTCCTATATGGCAGGACTTGTGATAAGCACCTTATATATTACCTTCAACCTTACAACTCAATTCAAATAATGCATTATTATTATTATTAAGATATGAAAACTAAGGCTAAAAGCAAAGCAATTTTCCCAGCAACTCGCCCAAGTCAAAAAGACAGGACGTCACAAAGCTGGGACAGGAACTCACAGTGCTGTTTTTAACCATTCTACAATACAAATTCACTTTGTTTATACCCTGAAGTGATCACCCAAGTGGAAAAAGTTGAGAGTGACTCTTTAGGTTTCTAGCTGAGAGGGTGGTCTTTACTGATCTGTACGTTGAGATAACAATGCCACCTGCTTAGGGACACAAGTCACAGTGAAAAAGGACCTCAAAGATGAAAGTCATCCAATCTGAATAAGGTGAGCACCTGACTTTACAGTCATGACAACTCCTCTGAACTGAATGAATCCACTGGACATTATTCAAGGAAGAGGGTCACTGATACACACAGTCAATAGCAAATCTTGGGTGTGTGTGTTTTGTCTTTCTTCAAAAGATATTACAGTTATCATTAGGATCACGGCAAGTATACACATTCCATTAACTGTTGGTGATATTAAGAATTAAAAGTCATCATTAGGAAAATTACATACTGTAACATTCTTACATGATCAAGATGTTTCCATTCATCAGCCCATTCCCTTTCTGTCAAACGGTGATCTACCAACTCATCTTGATAGCCTCCATTTAGACCTATAAAAATTAGAGATGAAATTTGGACATAGAGGGAGGGAATACAGTAGCACAGAATTCTTCCAAGTAAATGCACATAGACTCCCCCCAACTTTGAGGACGTTACTAAGGCAATGAGGGTGTAAGGACTTATAACATTAGATATAACAAAAGACAGCTATTTATAACATATAAAGAACCCCTGGAAATAAATTATGAAAAGTAAAACAGGCAGAGAAATAACCAGGTTATTTCTCAGACAAGAAAGTACAAACGGTCTATGAACACATAAAGAGACTCAAACTTATAAGTATGCAGCCAGGGGAATGCAAATAAAAACTGAGATATCATTTCACATCTACATAATTAAAATGTCAGATAAAATTAAGTGTTGCAAGGATGTGATACACACACCATAAGGATGTGGTGTGCCACCACTGGTAACAGCTTACTATGTTGTTGTTAGGTGTCATCTAAGGACAGCTCAGTACTAACAAAATAGACTTTTTTGCATGGTTTTGATATGTACTGAAATGTGCAGGGATGCAATGACTTTGTGAAAAATCACATCACATATGGCAACACTGCTCATATTCCCTCAATTATTAATGTTACACCACGGTATCAATCTGAATGCATATGTACTGTGTTCACAGTGATTCTGTATCACCACAAGCATCTGACTATTTCATGATACCTTCTAGTGTAGTCATACTTCTTATCATTTCCTTGCATATTTTATTACTATAAATACTTTCTTATATATTCTAGTTAAGACAGAATATTGATCCTAAAATTATGGGTCGAAGGTAGAACACAGAATCTATAAATTTCATTTTATGAGAGTAAAAACAAACCCACTGCCACTGAGTCGATTCCGAAGCATAGCAACCCACCTTGGGTTTCCAAGGCTGTAAATATTTACGGACGTATATTGCATATTATATTTGTCTCTAAAAGAAGGGAAGGGGGTAATGAATGGATTAGTAAGAGTTGCAAGCCATTATACTAGGGTGTAAGTTTTCAAAACAGGACTGGTAAAAATGAAGCAATCCACCCAGCCTGGCAGACCAACCTAAAAGAAACCATCAAGAGAGATGATCCAAGTCCTTCAAAAGTAGACTTCAGGATAGGAAAAAAGCCATTAAAAAAAAAAGTTAGAAATACAAGGAAAATCTGAAAAATTTGCAATCATAGCTAGTTTTTTTGCATATTTTTCTCAAATCAAAGTGGCAAAAAAAATGTACATAGATATAGGTAGAATAAACCAAAAGTATGCCAATAAAAAGAAATAAATGGAAAAGAGGTTGAACTATACAGGACAGTTGCTAAGGGACACCTCATAAAATACTGGCAACACATATAATGTTTGAGCATCACACAGTGTCTGAATCTTGTCTCTGCCATTTGCTGACTATGTGACTTTGGCCATAGTCCCTTCATCTCTCATCTGTAAAAAGGGGTAACAACTGTATAAGACTGCTGTGAAGACTAAATGAGACTATGTAAATACACTACCATCTAAGTGGTGAGGAAGACTCAACAAATGTTGGGAGCTGTGAAAGGCACTGCTCCTGTGGCCTCCACCGTTCAGCTACCACTGCATGAAACCAGTGGGATGGGCAAACTGCTGTGACTTTGCACTCCATAGGGTACTCCAACAAAAAGAAATGCAGGGCTCCATGTCCTGGAATATGCTCACATCTAAATTCCAAAGAACCTTCTGCAGTAAACTTGTATAATTAATTAGTGCAAAGAGTAGCTGATTAAGAGCTGTGTCTAAATCTGATCTAGTGTGAGATTTGTTAGGGGATTTTCCCTAAATTTAATGGTTACTGTGTATCCACATGCCAGACACTCCCAATGTAAGGTGACCAACAACCTGGCAGGATAAGGCTGGTATCCCCAGTTTAAGTATGAACAGTCTGAGGTTCAGAGAACCCAAGGAATTTGCCTAAGATCATACAGCTAGTTAGGATGCAGAGCTGAGATATAAATTTAGATATGCCTGCCCTCCTAACCTCAATATCCATGCTCTTGTACCCGTGACCACGTATTTTACATTATTCTTGCTTAATTTTTTAAGCACTTATTCTGAAATAAATGCAGACTTACATAAAAGTTCCAAGAGTAGTATAAAGAATTCACTTATAACCTCCACCCCAATCTCCCAAATGTTAATATATTACCTAATTTGCTTTAACATTCTTTTCTTAGACTCATTTGAGAATGTTATAGATACCTTTTTTATTTTCAAATACTCAGTGCATGTATCCTATATTTTTTGTTTAGTTTTAATTTCTATTTATTATTGTATTTATTTTACAATTTTGATTGAGCTGGTTATATTCACCACTGAGAGATACTCTTCTTGCTAGTAAACTCACCTCTATCATATAACGATGATAGCAACAAGGCAGGAAGTGAGCTCAATTTCAAATGAAATCAACAACAACCTTAAGAAATTATATTATTTTTGAAATGTCATTGAAACCCAAGGACTCAAACTGAATTTAAATCATTATTATGCTGTTTTATGACACTTACTAAGATTGTGATGTCTGTCACGAACTTCTCGATGTTCTAGCATCTTGTTGGGCTCACGATACAGGTGTGAAGTTGCAATGTCTTCTAAAGTGTAGTGCTGGAGAGGTGGAGGAGTGGGATGGAACTGGCCCCCAGGATTCATGAGGGGCACAGTGAGAGCAGGACTGTGTCGGGGAGCGGGGCTGATGGTACACACTCTCTTGGCAGGGGGTTCAGGAGGAATTGTATCTCTTTCAAAACTATTCTCTTCTCTCCTGTAGAAGAAGCAGAGGTATGTATCTGAATCTGTCAACAAATGCACATGCAGACATTTCCTGAGTACCTACTGTTTGCTATGTCGTGTGCTATGCACCTTCACAAACAGAAGACTGTAAGACAAGGATTGTACAAGAGACATTAACTGAAATGAATTGTCTTTAAGGAACCAGAGGATAATGTAATTTGCGGATTGATTCCAGATGAAAAGAGAGGTCAAATCCATTCAATCTAGACAGTAACAGCTAACCCTCCAGAGCAAAGAAGAGAATAAAAAAATGATAGGCCAGATTTGTTATTGTGGAAGTGAGTTATTGGAAACAAACAATTTTCTACATGGTAGGAAAATGGCTCAGATACCAAATCCATTTGTAAACTGGTAGAATTTTCAGTTATTAGACTTCAAATGTAAAAAATTTTCCACTATCCTTAGCAACTACCGATAACTAATTGATATACTTTTGCAAGACTTCACACATCACAAAAAATGTCTTCAGCAGTTTGTACTTCCTATGGTCCTTGAGCAGGGGACATATTAGGATGCTCAAGTGCAGAGTTTCTCACCAAGGTATACAGAGTCACCTAAAGAGTTTCCCGAAAAATACTCATGTTGAGATGCAAATCAAAACAACGAGACACCATTTTGCCCCAGCACTAGTAGCAAAGTTCAACAAGACAGAAAATAACAAATGCTGGCGAGGTTGTGGAGACGTTGGGACTCTCATACACTGCTGGTGGGACTGTCAAATGACACAACCACTGTGAAAAGCAGTATAGTGATTCCTTAAAAGTTGAAATTAGAAGTACCATTTGACACAGCACTTCTATTACTAGGTATATACACTAAAGAAGTGAGAGCCAGGACAAGAATAAATATATGCACATCCATGTTCACCGCAGCACTATTTACAATAGCAAAAAAGAGGGAAACAACGTAGTGCCCATCAGCAGAAGAATGGGTAACCAAACTATGGTACATACACACAATGGAATTCTATGCAACCCTAAAGAATAACCTAGAATCTGCAGAACACCACACAACATGGATGAACTTGGAGGACGTTATGCTGAGTGAAATAAGTCAATCACAGAAGGACAAATATTGTATTAGTCTGTTATTGTAAAAAGTCAAGGGAAGGTCTATATACAGAAGGAAATTTTCTTTGTTAGTTACCAGGGTGGGAGGGAAGAGGAGGGAACACTGTTAGATAGAGACACTGATTTGAGATACTGATTTGAGTGAAGGGCAGGGCAAAGTATCAAATGTGAGTAAGCAACACGGTGGCATTGAGGAAGAGGAAGACACAGAGAGGTGCATGGAAGGTACAGACAACAAAGATGAACCCTTTTGCACATACTGTGTTGTCAGAGATGACAAACATTGATACACAGGTGGATAGATGGACAGAAAGGCTAAACTATTAGGTTTGTCTATGCAGGGGGGAGTGTGCCCATGACCATGTATAGGGTTGGTTGGCAGAGAATGTTTCTACATTTGTATGTTCTGTAAGAATTTCCAGGTAGAGCTGACAAAGGACAAGGTTGTAGTCACTTCTTAGCCACAGTCAGCTACCCAAAGAGAGAGTGAGTAGTTGGACCTGTGGGCCCAGGACCATTACCCAGAGATAGCGAGTACTTGGATCTGTGGACCCAGGACCATAGTCTCAGGGACACCAAGCTCAACTGGCATAACATACCACACAAAAATATTGTTCCACACTGGTGAGTAGTGACTGGGATCTTAAAAGCTTGCAAGCGGCCATCTAGATGCAATGATGGGTCTCTCCTCATCCAGAGCAAAGAAGAATGAAGAAAACCAAAGATGGATGGAAACATCCAGTCCAAGGGACTGATGCACCATGCAATGAGACCAGAAGAACTAGATGATGCCAGCTACCACTGTCAACCATTGGGAGGGGATCTATGTAGGAAATCCTGGATAGAGAGGGAGAACAATGTAGAACAAAACTCAAAATCATTAAAAAAAAAAAAAA